TGTGGTGGATTTTTCTAGGCCAGTGATTCTATCTTCTACATCTGAGATTCGATTTTCTGTATGATCTAGCCTGCTTTTAATACTTTCAAGGGAGGCTTTGACTTCCTGTATTATAGCCTTCATCTCTAATAGTTCCATTTGATTCTTTTTTATGGTGTATATTTCCTTTTTCAGATCTTGCAAAAACTTCTTCACCTCCTGGAACTGGTCAGCTCCTTTCTCCTGCCTCTTCTGCAGTTCATTATCTCTCTTCTCTTCCATCTCTGTTAGCTTTGTCATTATGAATATTTTAAATTCTTTATCTGACATGTCCATGAGTTCCATCGTACTATCTGAGGATGAGCAGGAGTTACTCTTTTCCCTTGGAGGAAAGGTATTTTCTTGCCTTTTCATATTTCTTGTGACCCTGTGGTGATTTCTAGTCATCTGGTGTGTTTCTTCCTAAATCTTGAAGTTTAATCTGAGCATTCAAAGGCGTGCATGAGGAGGTGATCTGCAGTCTCTCTCCTGTTCTGTTTTTCACTCTTTGTACATCCGATTCAGTGGTAATTGAGGAATATTCTGACCCTAATCAAAATTAGATGTTTGGAAACTGTTCACTTTTCTTTCTTTTTTTTTTTTTTTTTGAGAGGTTTTTGCTATAGGGCATGTGCACTCGCCAGACAGACAGAGAGAGACAGAGAGACAGAAAGCAAGAAATCATCCCCCAGGGGGGATGGTCACACCACAATCCCTTCTCCTCCATTCTCCTCTTGGGATCTTGGGCACACACGCACATGCGCCCGGCGTGAGTTTTAAGCCACTGGGTCCAGACGCGAACCGTGGTTAACTATGTGGGAGTCCAGCGACATAGCCATTACGCTAACTGCTGGTCCTGCAACTGTTCACTTTGACCTGTGCAGACATTTAGTGTGTGGAAGCTGAGCAGCCAAGGAATGAAGTAAAGGAAAAAGGAAAAGAATTAGAGATGACGAAAGAAGAAGAAAATAAAGAAAAAAGAAGAAAGAAAAAAAGACAATAAAAAATTTGTATTTTAATTTTAAAAAGCAAAAAATGAAAACCATGTGGCCCTCACACAAAAGCAATATTTCACAGTTCAGGTTCAGTGGCCATCTCAGGATGGGCCTGATCCATCCCTTTCCTAAAAGGGAGGGGAAAAGGCACACATGAACATGATAAAGGAGGGGCTTGAGAGCCCAGAGAATACATTACCTTAAAAAAAATTAAAATAAATAAATTAATTAATTAATGAAAAATGAAAAGACACAGGGAGACACAGACAGAGACAAAGAGATGGAGAGAAGGATGAAGAGGTAGCCTTACCCATTAGAAATGAATCTGGAGGGAGAAGTCTCAGCAGAACATCTTCATCTTTAGTCCCTGAAAGCAATATTTCACAGTTCAAGTTCAGTGGCCATCTCCCCCTCCTCTGTTTTTATAAAAATATTTTATAAGAATCTGTATTTGAATACAACTCTCCGTATCAACACTACAGAAAAATACTGATATGGTCAGAGGGTAGCATTCTGATTTCTGATTTACCTGTTAGAAATCGTCCTTTCTGAGACCAACAGTTGGCATAATGGCTGTGTTGCTGGACTCCCATGTAGTCGACCGCAGTTCGAGTCCAGGACCCGGTGGCTTAAACTCACGCCAGGCATGTGTGCGTGCGTGCCCAAGATCCTGAGAAGAGAATGGAGAAGGGATTGCAGAGTGGCCATCCTCCCTGGGGGGTGATTTCTCACTTTCTGTCTCTCTGTCTCTCTCTCTGTCTTTCTGGTGAGCGCATGCGCCCTAGCAAAAACCTCTCAAAAAAAAAAAAAAATCATCCTTTCTGGTTTTATTCCCGTATTACTTTGTGTATTTGTAGAAGTATTTATTTGCCATCTTCTGCAAACATGTTGTCTCCAAATAGATTGAACACTCCCTGAGGGTTGTGTAACTGCCACAAGACTTGTCATGGTGCTATGTACAAAGTAAGTCTTCCAAAGTGTTCAATTGTTTGTAACTGATAATCTGTGGCATCTAAGGAGACTTGACAGGAAGAGGCACAAAAGATGACACTGGGATTTCAACCACCAAAAACCATCTGCCCAGACTTCACCCTCCTACTCCCCAGTCTAGCCGGGAGTCAGGATGAGCCAATCAGCAGCCAACTATATTTGAGTTCCAAGCAGCCCCACTTGCACCGGGCCATTTTCGTTTTTTGGCCCCCAATTTTTTTCTTCTCTTTTTCTTATTGTTTTTGTATTTTTTCCGCCTTCTTCATTTTTTTTCCCCTATTCCTTTTCCTAATCTTTCTACCTTTCTGACTTTTCTGCTCAGCCTCCATACACTGATTTTCTAGACTTTTCTGCTCAGCCTCCATACACTGATTTTCAGGAGTCAAATATATGTATACTTTTAGGGTCAGATTAATCTTCAGTTTTGATTCAATCAGTTGTGCAAAGAGAGAAAGATGATACAGTTTACAGACTGCAGGTCACCTTCTGCATTCCTCTGATTGCTCAGATTTAACTCCAAAAAAATAGGAAGAAATGTATAATACATCAGATGACAAGAAACCACTACAGAGGCACAAGAAATATGAGAAACAAATAAAATATCTCTCCTCTAATGGAAAAGAATAACTCCTCTTCCTCCACAAAGAATTACAAGGGAACTCATAGAAATGCCAGATAAAGAATGTAAAATATTCATAGTGACAAAGCTAACAGAGATGCAAGCAAATAGAGACAACATCTTCCAGAAGATGCAGGAGAAAAGAGACACTGAGTTCCAGGAGGTGAGGAAGTTCTTACATGATTTGAAAGAGGAGATTCGCATCATAAAAAAGAATCAAACGGAATTGTTAGAGATGAAGGCTGTAATACAGGAAATGAAAACCTCCCTTGAAAATATCAAAAGCAGATTAAATCATGCAGAAAATAAAATTTCAGATGTAGAAGATAGAACCTCTGACCTAGATAAATTCACCAAATAAACTGAGAAAGTAACCCAAAAAATAAGAATAACATATGAGTAATACTAGATACCATTAAATGCCCAAACACCCGGATTATTGGTATCCCAGAAGGTGAAGAAACTAATAAGGGTATTGATAATCTATTCCATGAAATCCTGGTAAAAAACTTTTCAAACTTAGAGAGGCACTCAAATATCCAGACCCAAGAAATACAAAGAACCCCTCATAGAATCGACTCAAGAAGATCTTCCCTGAGGCACATCATAGCCAGATTGACCAAAACTACAGAGATGAGATACTAAAATTGGCAAGAGAGAAACATCAAGTTACTTCAAAGGCTAACATTGGACCTCTCATCTGAAACAATGCAAGCAAGGAATGAATGGGAAAATATATTCAAAGTGTTAAGTGAAAAACAATTTCAACCAAGAATACTCTACCCAGCAAGATTATTTTTCATATGGGAAAAAAAAGACAAAAACATTCTCAGATAAACAAAACTTGAAAGAATTTACCAATACCAGACCAGCTCTCCAAGATGTGGTGAAGGGAGTGCTATACCAGGAAAACTAAAGTCAACCCACAGAATAAGAGTATAAGAAACAACCAAGACAATGGCCAGCCTAATGGTAGGGACAAGTCTGGAGCTGAATGTTAACTTCCAGAGTTTAAATGGAAAGATCAGACCACAGATCAGTACACTGGATGGAAAAACTCATTTTGTCTACTGTATTGATGTACAGTGAATGACTGTAAATAGATAAACAAATAAATAAAAGATGACATTGTACTTACTTGGTGAATTTCCGTATGTTAGTAAATCTTTTCTAGGTGGTTAAAAAAAATTCCAATCGTTCATGTTTTCTCGAACCTGGCCTTCAAATTTCCTAAATATACAGCTCAAAAAGGTGCCAGAGCAACCAGCGGATGACATAGTGGTTATGTTGCCCACATGGCTGACCATGGTTCCAGTCCTGGACCGGTGGCTTCATTACGCTAACTACGGGTCCCTTTTCTTTTTTCTTTCTTTCTTTCTTTCTTTCTTTTTTTTTTTTTTCAAAGAGAGGTTTTTGCTCTAGGACGTGCGCTTGCCAGACAGAGAGAGCCAGAAAGCGAGAAGCGAGAAATCACCACCCCACCCTTCACCTCCGGGGAATGGCCACGCTGCAATCCCTTCTCCTCCATTCTCCTCTCCGGATCTTGGGCACGCAGGCACACGACCCTGCGTAAGTTTAAGCCACCCGGTGGGGACTCCAATCGTGGTCGACTGCATGGGAGTTCAGCGACATAGCCATTATGTTAACTGCTGGTCCCTCGGTGGCTTCAAAATCAGAACCAGCGTGTGTGCACGCACGCCCAAGATCCCAGAACGAGAAGGGATTGAGGCTTGCTCACGTTTGACGGTGGGGAGTGTGATTTCTCAAGTTCCCGCTCACTGTCTCCTCCCACTTGTCCAGCCCACGTGCCCAAGGCAAAAACTTGGGGGGCGGGGCTGTAGGTGGGAGCACGAGAAACTGGCAGCTAAGATCTCATTGAGATTTTATTTGCCCTAGGATCCTGGATCTGAGTAGTAATGATCAAAGATATTTACTTAGCTTGCAGATTATGCATAATAAATGGCAGAGAGAAGAGTTAGTGAATCTACCGTATACCAGATCCATTGTTCTCATACCATCCTCATTGTTACCCCATGAAATAGAAATTAGGAAGAAAAGAAAAAACTGAGCTTGCTTTCCGACTATCATTAGATAACAAGAAGTACAACGCGACGCGATTTCCAGGCACAGCTCCGCAGCCCATTTAGTCTCCTTGGGTGGGGCCCCCTTGCTATGTGGGTTTCAGTTCCCCTGCGCGTGACTCTTTACCAGAGTAACGCCATGTTTTGTTTGTTGATTAGGTAGGAAAGAGACTCTAAGGTCTAAACCGCGCTACCCCAGCACTAGGCGAAGCCACCGCTCACCTGGTGGCGGGAAACTGGACAATTTAAATCCCTTGGCTGGGACGCAGGAACCAGGCGTGATGCTCATTGGCACCGCCCCCGGCCGCCGGGCTCCTCTGATTGGGCGTGGCTGCGCCCTGTCGACCAATGGCGAGGCTGCTCTTGAATTCCCGGAAGTGAAGGCTGAGTTAGGGTCCGCCTCCGCTTCCCAGGCCGGCTAGTGGGGGCTACGCCGGGGTCCGCGGCGCTATGAGTTCTTTCCAGGGACAGATGGCTGAGTACCCAATCATCTCCATAGACCGCTTCGACAGGGAGAATCTGAAGGCCCGCGCCTACTTCCTGTCCCACTGTCACAAGGGTGAGTGACCCCGCGCACTGCCCACTCCCGGGGCTCCAGGGGCAGCAGAGAGGAGGACAGGCAGGGATCGCGGGGTCGAGAATGGGGAGTGCAGGCCGAGGAGGCCAGAGATGGACCGGCCAGAGCGCTTGGACCCGATCCGGCACTTCACTCTCTAAGGCATTATTTATTCCCGGAGTTGTACAGCCCAGCCGCACAGGGACCCTACCCGGGGCTCCCTGAGCTGGGCCGGTTAGTCAGGCACTGCTGTTAGTTCTTTTGGTACCTCTCCTACTGGCCAGTATCAGGTTAGCGAGGGTCCATTTTACCTCTATAGCCTTGCTTCTTTGTTATAAGCTGCCGCACTCTTAGACACCGGTTAGCAAGCAGGTGCACGCAGACGCACTCTGTCGAATCAAACTTCCTGTTTCTAAGTCCCAGGGAGGTACAAGCTCCTCTTTTTCGACGACGTTCTGTCCATCCTATATGAAAGATTCATGCTAGCCTAGGCCGGCAGAATACAGTTTTACCTCATAGAGGGTATTAGGCCAGAATGCTATGATTTCATAGCTAGGCACGTTTTAGAATGTAGTGTTTGTTATTATTTTTGAGAGATTTTTGTTATAGGGTGCATGCGCTTGCCACGGAGACAGAGACACTAAAAGCAAGAAATCACGTCCCATGGGACCAGCAGTTGGTGTAATGGCTATGTCGCTGGACTCCCATGTAGCCGACCGCGGTTTGAGTCCTGGACCTGGTGGCTTAAACTCACGCCGGGCACGTGTGCGTGTGTGCCCAAGATCCCGAGAGGAGAATGGAGGAGAAGGGATTGCGGCATGGCCGCCCCCGGGGCGGGGGGGATGATTTCTCACTTTCTGTCTCTCTCTCTCTCTCTCTGTCATTCTGGTGAGCGCATGTGCCCTATAGCAAAAAAACATCTCCAAGAGGAGGTGGCCATGAGGCAATCCCCCAGTGTATTACTCACTGTGCCACCACCACCTGACATTGTCTGTATGTCTATCTATCTATTCAGTTTTTTGTTTTGCTATAGGATGGTGAGCTAGCCAGAGAGAGACAGAGAGGGAAAGTGAGAAGGCATCCTCAGGGTGATGGCTATGCTACAATCCCTTCTCCATTTTCCTCTTGAGATTTTAAGCACACCTGCCTGAGAGCCATTTTCAAGCTGCCTGTCAGCGCTCAGACCATAAAGTAGGCCATGTGGGGCCCAGCCTCCCTAACCTCTACTGCTGACAGTTGTTCACCCTTTTTTTTTTTTTTTTTTTTTTTTTTTTTAAGTTTTTGCCTTAAGGCACTTACATTTGCCAGAGAGATAGTGAGAAAGAAATTGAGAAATCACCCTCCAGGGGAAAGGCCACAGTACACTCCTTTCTCTTCCATCCTCTTCTTGGGATTTTGGGTACCCACGCCACTCTCCTGCTTGGCCGCCAGGTCCAGTACTCACACTGCAGTCGGCCAGGTGGGAGTCCAGTGCTGTAGCCATTACACTACCTGCAGCAATGAAAACAGTTTTAATATTAATATTCATTATGATGATTAATTAGCACAGCCATTGGCATTGATTGGAAACAAAGATAAACCGAAGCACCCTAGTAGCTGCCTCTTGTTGTGCGACTGTCCACAGCAGCTCCAGTAGGTTGCTACAACTACCCTGTGAAGTGGTGAATGAATTAGAGCATCACAGCTCCTGTACACACGTCACACTGCAGAGTATGTTAAAGTAAAACCCAGGTATCAGCATACTGCCCTTCTTCACAGCGTTGGTGCGAGCACTGACTCTTTTTTTTTTTTTTTTTTTTTGAG